GGCGCGCCAACAGCACGTAGAGTTTGTGCTGCCGCTGCTGCAGCGCCAACAGTTTGCTGTATCATTGCCTGTGTTTCAGCCATTGTCGTGGTCAAACACCAGCAGAAATTTCACGTCACCCTGCAAGGGATACCAAGTTGCCACCACAAAAAAAATGCAAACAATGATGAAGGCTGCAAATCAGAAAATCACCCATTCAAAGATTGTAAATTGCAAACCACTGAGCAGACGTTGTCCAGTAAAAGTCCAATCCAACCTGATGTTACTGTCGCACTTGACCAAATGTTGAAATCTGGTGGAGCAGCGATGGCTGTATCAGCCCAAGCCCAGGCAACAAGCTATGGCTGCAGCAAATGCGCGCCCAACGCCTTGGCACCCTGGGGACAAAATTCAGCCCTCTGGTGATGCCTGGGATTGGGTCCCGTCCACAGCCACCACCACGTTTGGAGCTCACCAGAACCCTACGGGTGATCTGGATCACGGCTCCGCTACCATGTTTGTTTTCGCTCAGCCAAAAGCGTCTGAATACACTTCTTGATTTGTGCGTATTGCACCACAAGCTGAACATCACTGCTAAATGGCAAATTGACATGTTATGAGGCTACATGCAGAGTACGTAAATATGTTGCAGAAACACTGTGGACATAAACAAAGGAGCGGTGGTGATGCATATCACGGTGTGGGAATCGCTATTTTCAGCGTTGCCGTGCCACACATGTCGTTCCGGTTTTGTTCATGCCGAGTGTGCGCCGCAATTCCGTTTTAGCAGTGGAAGGATTCCGCGTCACAAATTCATAAGAAGATCCAGCAAGGTTCACGGACAGATGTTGGTTGATCGGTGTTCCGACACAATTTGCAAATTTCGAGCCGCGTGCGTGAAGCAAAACGTTTCGGATGAAAATCGTGTTAAAACACCTAAAGTTACGGATGCAAACTGTGCGGAAATTGGCCCTATTTTTTTCTGGTTGTGATATTCCACGCGTGTGGAATCGGATTTTTCTTAATAGTGCACGTGTATCGCGTGTATTTTTGTTACCCCCTCGCGTAAAACTGGATGCATATTTTTTGGAAAGCCCATTCTTGGACCGCACCTGTGGGAAAAAATCATTTGTTGTTGCAGTTCTATTTTGGCGGCATATTTTTTCCCAAGGTCAAGCGTACTTCTTCCTGCTTTTAGGTTCGTGTCTTGACCGGGTTTGGAAATTTCATATTGAACCGACATGGTGTCAAGAAGTGACATGACTTGGAAATTTTAGCAAGATGCTGTCAACCTCTCCAACACAAACACTTCAAAAATTGTCCCTGATTTCGGTAAAAAGTGTTTATTCTGATAATTACCAGGGCCCATTGCAGTCATGGCTGTCGGGCATTCAGGTTGGCCGCATCATTTTTGTTTGACGTTTTTGCGATTCAGTGCCAGATTTTGTTCCACGCACCGGAACGGTTTTGCAACGGCGCTGGTTTTCTGCAGCCGTATTCCTGCGTTGTCCAAGTGTTGCCGGCTAACATTTTTGGGTTCACAATATTTCGGCAGTTGCCCTCCTTCGGTGTGTATCAATTTATTGCATCTTCGGTTCGCCGATCGTGTCAAACCACATTTTGTTGTTTATATTATTTTATGTTTAAGGGTGGGCATTGGTCTTGGGTTCAAAACACCTTTCATCACCACATTTGTTTCCTCTGTTTGATTTTTATGGTTGAATGTTTCTTGTAGCGTTTTTGGTGGTTTTGCCGCACAGCCATGATCTTCTGATGAACATGGATTGTTTAGCGAAGCTAAAGGGTCGTACATCTCAGGTCATTTCAGGTTGGGGAGGTTCGCCTCCTTCTTTGTTTTTTGTTTGATTCATTTTTTATCGATGTACTGTATATTGTGCCATTTCAAACATACACATCACGAGTACTGCTACCATGCGCGCGGTTTCACAAATGTAACGTTTCCCAGACATTTCCCTTGTTAGTAATGCCGGCTCCAACGTTGAAGCGTCCACGTTTGGTGATTCTGGCGCGTTGTTGCATAGTGCCGCAGTTCGGAAATTTGATTGGGGCGTCTGAAAATAGCAATCATAATGGCCAAAGCGAACCAACAAATGCCTTAAAATTCGAAGTGCGAGAGCTAGACGCATAGCCTGCCGTACCACGATGTTGTCAAAAATGCCTTGGAGCAACAAACCCAGGGGACGTGTAGATTTTTGTCACCCGCGCCTCGCGCCTGCTGTCCTCAGTCATACTTATGGCCCGACCAACCGGAACAAACCTTCAAGAAAATCATTGACTTCAAATTTGTATGCCCGCCAAGGTCATTCAAGGATTGAAATTTTGATTGATATATTTACAAATTAGGGGTGGTCAAATCGTAAACCCCACTAAATCCAACATGTCCAAATGTCCAAAATTAACCAATCTTTAAAGTTGTGACAGTTGAAACGATTGAACTGCGAGGCCAACAATAATCATCTAGTAATTTGTTCGCAAGGTTTGGACTTTTTCCGGCAAGAAAATTTCCTGCAGTGGCCATGTGGGTTCCAAAACCAACGAGTCCTTTCGAATCCGACGTTTCAAAAGAAACAAAGTTGGTTGCAAAGAAGAGCGGGGAGACTTGGAAGGTCCGGGGGGATGCGATTGCAATTATGAATTATGATATATTTAAAATGTGCTAAAAAAAAATGTTTTTGAAACAGTTTGGAACCTCAATTTTGTTTAGGGCGGGCCCCAAAGCATTATGCAGAACGATCTCGGAACTGGAGTAAAAAAAAGAAACAAAACCGCTGGAGATCGGGTTTTCAACGCAAAATCACGTCGCAAATAGCACAAAAAAATAACACAAAAATTGTGTTTGTGGCACCAAGAATGAAATCGTGAAAAAGAATCGCAACAAATTCCTGTGACAAAATGGATCTGCCAAGCCGGCGCCAAAAAAGAACACCGAAATGGAGAGAGTCATGCTTGGCAACATGACCGACCATGCAATGTTTGCATTGGAATCATCAAAATACCCAACCTGAATTTACAGCAACCATCTTGCAAATTGTCAAATTTAAATTCACATACATCATTGTGAAGTGTTACATGAAGAATAGGCGCTGTTGTTAAAGCAAATAGAAAACTTACAGGGAGGGCATTTCAACCGGCGGCATATGTGCCACCTGGGGTTCGTGACAAACAATGTCAAAAAAATGAAGGTGGAAGTAAACATTTTTAGTTGTTCAAGACTTTGTTCCCCACATATTGTGTAAGGTTCTTGTTTTTCTGTTGTGCGGTCCCGTCCGCCTCCTTCTCCTCCTCTTCCTTTGTCTCATTCGTCTCCTCTTACACAGAATTTTCTCACACACAATTCTGTCACACACAACTCTTCACACACACAACTTTCACACGCAACTCCGTCACACTCTTGCTCAGAAACATCTTTGCGAATTCTGATGTGGAATGCATCTTACGTGCAAAAACACTCCAGTTAAACCTGACAGGAAACATTGGATGACCAGGAGTGAGAAACTGTGCGAGGAAAATCTTTCAACGTCCTTGCTAAAAGGATCAAATTGTTCTGATGCAGCTCATTCAAACTAAGTGGGTGGTTTTTGGGTTAGCCACTTCCCATTGCAGAAAAAATTGACATGAGAATCGAAGCAGGTACGTCGGGATGATCAGTCCCGATATCACAATCTCAAACCACCGTCTTCGTTGGGCAGTGGATGGAATGAGATTCACTGCCCCCCTGCTTGGAATAACTTGAAGTAATGCTGACGAAACCAGGAAGGCAAGTACAAAAGTGGGAGTTCCGTTGTTTGAAATCACGTGAAATAATGCCGGCGACAACTTGAAAAGTAAGCTCAAAGGTATAAGTTTTACATCTGTTCACATGTTTCACACACTTGCTCAGAAACATCTTATCGAATTACTGATGTGGAATGCATCGTACGTGCACAAACACTTCATTTGAACCTGGCTGGGGGAAGTGGTTGGCTGGGCATGAGAAACAGTGAAGAAGAATTCTTTCTACGTCCTTGCCATGGACGGAAATGAAAAAGATTGAGCAGGTACGTGGATTGAGCGTCCCCAATCCATATCACTGTGCAACAGATGCGTCTTCGTTGGATGGAGACATCTGAAGCACACTCCATCCCCCTGCTGTGACAATGTTCAAAACCAAAATTCAAGGATCAAAGTTTCAAACCATGGCAGAGTTAGAAGTTTTACATCTATTCAGATGTTCCACACACACTCCTCGCTGCCGCGAGGCTGTTTTTTGCCAACTGCGAGATTGGTTGTGAAGCTCTTATCTGGACCCTGAGGCAGGATGTAGCGGTGAACGCAAGATCAAAATACAGGGAAGAAACCTGCAGCTGAATTATCCGAGTTGCTCAGAACACCTTCAGCTCGGAGTAGTCAGACTCAATCGCTAATGTCGGAGAGCGCCTCCATTTGTTGAGCTCGATGTGACAAATCGCGATTGGTCTGTGCCAAGTGGCTCGCAAGGTGGGCCAAGTCTGCTGCCGAGAAGACCTGGATCGGATCGTTCGCTGGGTTCTCCAGTTTCTCGAGAATGGCCAGGTTAGCCCCTCAGTCATTGTTGAGAATGTTCCACAGAATGGTAGCCAGCTGGGGGATCTGACTCGGTGCCGATGCAGATGCTGCATAAGTCTTTATTTTCCTTGATAGCGAGACGCCTTCAGGATCCATTGATACTGCACTTGATCATAGCCATTTGGCTGATGCAGTCTGAACATGCATGAAACCGAATCACAAGCAGCAAACGTGTGATACCTATGCAAATCACTAAGATATGAACAGATACTACACTATGACTACCTGACTGTAGCATTGCAAATGTTTCTCACCCCGCCTTTTGCGCATCACTTTGTGTTGTGCAAACTTTGAAGCAAGCTGGGGAAACAAAATGAATTGGCGTCTAACTCTCATCGTCTGAGCTCGAAAGATCGGTAAGATCTTGCATCATCATCCAGACTCCAGCAAGCTGTGGAAACAAAATGAATTGGCGTCTAACTCTCATCGTCTGAGCTCGAAAGATCGGTAAGATCTTGCATCATCATCCAGACTCCATTTCTTTGTTCTGGGTGCTCTGAACAGAACCAACAGATTCGAACCATGACTTCTCTCTGCTCCACATATTTCAAAACGCTCGCAGCACGGCCACTTTCCATGGCTCTTCCCAAACGTTCTGTCAACCTTTGAATCATCCAAAGCGCCATATGCTCTGGACTGTGGGGTTCAAACGCTGCAGCAGGCTCTATCAAAACGAAATCAGCAGGAGGATCTGGAGGAAGAAAACTTTCAACTTCTGGTTCATCAGCATCGTTTGTGAATCCACTTTCAGGCTCCACACTGATGCAACTGAAAGCATTGAACTCAGGTTCATGACTTCTCAAGGAATTGTGAAGCTCCACCATGGATCGAACACCTTCTGGAGAAATACCATCTTCTTCAAACCGTGAATACATATCCATCAGCAACTCATGCATGGCATTCAGTGAACTCACTTCAGCATCATTGCTCTCGTATTCAGCCTCGTCGATCAAACGCAAGGTCTGTTTCACGGAAACGCAAAGAAAACCATAAACTGCCGGTTTGTTGAACTGTCTTGTTGAAGCTCGGGCTTCTCTCTCAACACTCACTTCAGCTTCTGGTTCGGGTTCATTCACATGCGGCATCATGGCCACTGCAGAAACGCAAACGAAAAGAATCACCAAAAATGAGATCACTGCCAGTGAAAATCCATGGTTTGGAAATTGCTCACGCAGCAAAAACGACATTGGGCTCGGTAGGCTCAAGGCGTCTGTTGTGCTCACAAGGGTCAACATCAGCAAAGCACGCAACGTCTTCTTGGCTGAAACCATCGTTTTGTGATTGGAGTCTTCTCCAATACTTTCACGCATCATACGCAGGACATGTCTGAAGTCACCTGCGGCCTTTTCTCTCAAAACTATCTCAGCACCAACAAGCTCGCCCACGCTCTCATCGAAAACGCCAACACCATTCATCAAGTACTGCATTCTGTCTCTGGAAAGCTTCTTCGTCCCAAGGTCTGCATAGTTTTCCTTTGTTGGAATTGTGCTGGTTTCCAACTGCTTTGACTTGACCAGCTGCTGAATCCACAACACTCTGCATGAAAGGTGACGTATGCGTCCGACTCCACTCCGTTGAAGCACCTGCTTGGCTGCGCTGTTATCCACAATGATTTTCAAACGTATCTTTTCACCAACGCAAAACTCCAAGCAAATGCGAAGAAGCAAGCCGTCACATGTTGTAGACACTGCAGCATGAACCTCAGCTTCTGCTGAGCTCAGGGCAACAATCCTCTGAGTGCGACTCGTAAGGAGAAGCAAACACCCCTCAAAGCAAATGATACCAGAGCTCACTGACTTCCTGTGCCCTTTGTGGGTAGCCCAATCTGAGTCTGAGAACATCTCAAGCGCTGGACTACCATCAACAAGGGGTGAATGCCACAAACCATCCAACTGCACTTTCAAACGCGAGGAGTGATCACGCACTGAGATCAGGTACAAGCACAAGTGTTTGAGCATCGTCCATGCACGCTCAGTTGCACAACTCATTGACTGCGCCAAACCTCTGATGGTGTAGGCACACTCCACCAAATCGCTTGCCAGGTAGAGAAGGACACCAACTGCAGAACGATACTTTGAAGCTTTGCAAGGTTCAAGCTGTGGAGAATCGTCAACCTCATTCATCAACTCATGACATGGAACCTTCTTTGGGTTCATATGGCTCTGGATGCTCACGATCTCAAACAGCTTCTCAAAGTGACGTGGATTTTGCTGAACATGGATGGTCTCAGGGTCCACCAAAACGTGGACTCTCTTCAGGAACTCAAACGTGTCGCCTGGCTGGCTCATGCAATGCACTGAGGTCTTGTACTGCATAGCAAGTGTTGGGATGAGCTTCTCATCAAAGAACTGCTGTTCTGTCACCACCAGCATGTCATCCACGTGCAACAAAATCAAACACTCACCTCCCGGGCTGCGCAACAAGCTAGGATATGCTTGGCAGTGCTCAAAGCCAAGCTTCTCATTCAAAAACCCACTCACGCTTTCAAACCACAACTGACTGCCATCTCTCTGTCCTGGAAGTACACGTCCCAACGCAAAGGTCTCAGCACCTGAAGTAACAAGTGTAGGCTGTTGTTGGGGAACTGTCAAGAAAGCATCGCCAATGTCAATGGCTCCAAGCACAAACTTCTTCTCAGGGTACTTCTTTTTCCAGTGCAAGAAGATTGCTGGCAGCAGTCTGTTGGTCACATTGCTGGAAGCTGGACTGAAAAGGTCCTGACGCTCTGGAGACAACCATGCATACTCTCTTGCCACATATCTGGCTCTGCGCAGCCAGCACCTCTTTCCATCAATCACCTTGTCACGCCATGTGATGACAAAACGAGTGGACAGCCGTTTGGGGTCAGTCCCTTGCAAGGTCTCAGGTGGCAAGAGCACTTCCATCTGTTTCAAGCGTGTTGTTTCCACATACATGGCTATCGAGTCAAGCTGGGCCATCTTCTCTGCAGAGAACTGTGGCTCCTGATCGCTGTATGGAAAGATCAGTTGTTTCAGCTCAGCAGAGCATCATCTGTTGCAACCTCACTAGAAACATCATCAGTTGTCAGGCCAAAGTCAAACTCTTCCATCGCATCAAGCTCACTGCCACTGAACGTGGTGTAATTGTGATCATCTTCATGTTCATACTCAACACCAGCAATCATGCAAATTCTTGCTCGTTTGGACATGGGCTCATCCTCACCGTCAGGCGAACGAGGAACATCTTGCCCATGATCCACAGGTGTCGCAAGTCCAGTAGCAGATGCCGTTGCAGGTGGTGGCATCATGACAGCAGGGGCTGGCACTGACCCCGCCTGAGTCTGCATGGGGGCCTCTTCAACCACACAGTCAGGGATCTGCTCCATTGGTGTTGGTGGCAAATCTTTCACGGCTTCTGCCTCCTCATCATAAACTGGGAGCAGCTTGCTAGGGGCAGGTTGCGCACTAGCAGGCGGCAAAGCTGGAACCACCTGAGGCGCTGGTTTGAGAACTCGCTTTGGCACCATCAACCTTGATCCCAACGTAGCAAAAGAGCACTTCCATGGTGTCATCTCAACATTGCCAAGTTCAGTTGCAACCCATGGAACAGGAATCCTGCGCACAGATCTGGTGATGAACAACCCACCATTGCAAGAGATGATATGGGCATCATTATTCTGAGTCTTCCCAAGCCAAACACCACGCTGCCAAGACGCAAGGCCCTTTGCAGAGGGCTTCAAGAAACCCATGCACGTTTCACCAAACAAGCAAATGCGACCATAGTACTCCTTCCCAGTGCATCTTTCATAAGGGGTCTTGCGGAAGGCCGACAGCCTTCGAAACCTACTTGGGTCAGCGTCCAGGACGTCGTCCTTAACTCACTAGACCGTCCACGCAACCAAGTCAACCACTCCCAGAGCTCAGCCACTTTTACACAAGCACAAAACACGATGTTTGCTCATGTCGCTATGGTTCTTGTTGGTGTGTCACGCCTTGACACAAAATGATGCGGAGTCGCCAGTCAGCATCTTTCTGCTAACTTTCACAAAAGCGATCAAAAACACATGTCCTCACAAAAAGTCTTTACATCAAGACATGGTTTGTTTGTTTAAATAAGTTTGAGTGTTTGAAAAACGTTGAAACATTTCAAGCACCAAAACATGATTCATGATGTCTCCCTCAGATCCGTTAGCAACTCCAGTTCTGAATGCCTTTCAGAATGTTGCTCTCGCTATCATCATTGAGAGACAAAACAAACTACACTTCTCCGATCAATGTCAAACAAAGTTCCTTCTTTCGAAGTCACAAAATGAATTCTACGATCTTCTCACGATTCCTTCGTGTACTTCGTCGACGACAACTAATGCAAAAGGTATGGAAAATAGTTTGATTTTCCATGTCACTATACAAATTCAAATCCTCACGATGTTCTCCGTGCAATCAAAGTACTCAAAGAAGACGAAAAGTATATCGTTGTTGTGTTTCGTCATCTCCAATAAAACGTGCAAAACATGAAACGTGCACATGTCAACCATCACGGTTGAGCTCATCATCAAGATGAAAACCAAATTCACTTCTTCCAATGCAGAAAAGACCAATGAAAGGACCAATGGATTCATCTCACCACAGATGTCAAATTTTCACACCCCCTTTTCAGATGAACTCCATTCCATGTATGGCTGTAACCCATTCAGACTTCAGCACATATCGCCCAAGCTCGATAGGTCAATACATATAGTACGAATTGTCCCGTTGTCCACCATCCAATGAGCAACCAGCTCATAGTCTTTCCTCGCCTTTGCACCAATGAAGATACTCTCAATCACCTAGCTGCCTCTGCACTGAAGTTCCAGTGAAGCAACCCTTTGGCTTTCCAACCTTTCCAGAGTCCTCCACAACCTTGCATGCGCAGAGAAAAGAATACCAATCCTTTGCAATTGGACTTGTACTCTTGTTTCCCAGGTGACACATACTCCATTTGCAATATCCGGTCATCTCATCATCGACATATACCTCACGGTATGTTTTGCCTTCATTGGCAAACTTTCCAAACGCAAACTTCGTTCTGCTCCAATCTCGAAAACTCATACCTTCAGGCACCAAATCAGCAGTAAGCTGATCAAGAACCTTGTCGGCGATCCCAGGAAAGATTGGGATAGGCATCACAGGCAACTGCGCACTCAAAGGTTCAGCTGCCGAAGAAATCACATCGAATTCATCATCATCCAGAGCCTCACGAAGTCGCTTGCTTCCATCTGTCATTGCTCCTTGACTCTCCAAAGGAGTCAAAATACTAGATCCGGCTGCATAGCCTGGCCCTGAATTCTCACTGTGCCACTTCTTCTGAAGAAGACCAAGCAACGCCTTCTCATCTTCATCCGTCCATCCAGACTTGGCCATGGCTACAAACCAAACCGCGTCCGGTAGTGAAAAAGCACTAGACCGTGGCTAAACTCTTAGGAGCAATCAACCTAGAACGTGAAACGAAGTGTCGAACCGCCATCACAGTCGTGATAGGATCAGTGGCCTTTCAGATTGTTCTGCACTGCGCACACACGCTGCATCTTACAGCATCGCGCAACAAAACTCTGCACAAGATGAAACCTGGTGAAAACTCCTGTTTGTCTTTGGCAACGTTTGTTTGAAAACAACATGCAAACAGAAATGAAACGAAATGAAACGAAACGTGGATCCAACTTCTGTCTCTCTCTGTCACAGGGCCCCCTTTCAAACGCAAATTCAACTCTTCTTCTTCGAAGCATGTTTGACCGCAATCAAAATGTATCTTGCCAACTTTCGGTTGTAAAACGCTGTTTCAGTATAGTTGGTTTGATAGAGTTCTGCATGAGTCTGACATGTGCATGTAGAAAGTTTGGAGTGGAGATTTAATGCAAACCAAGCTGAATTGGAAACAAACTTCAATGTCTTTCCAATCGGAATACCATCCTTGTTCTGACATCCAGTCTTGCACAACCTCACCAAAGCCTCATGCCTCATGTCAAAACTCTGCAAAAGATTCACTGTCTCAGGTCGGGACCAAATGGTATTTCGTTCTGGAAGCTCAAACGAACATGAGTCTGCATGTTTGAAGTAACCACCAATCGCGTTGATGATCTCATCCCATTCCTGGTCCTTTTCAGTGACTGAGTCCGGATTGAAATTGCGAAGCGGACTTCCACTTCCACAAGGAGTCGATGCATGAATATGCACCCAAGGTGGACATGACGAGTTCTTCCACTGTCGAATGCAAACAGCTACACGACTCAACGTTCCAGAACTCTGCACCTTAGCAACTACACCAATGTATGGGACCTTCGAAACTTCACAGACCTTTCTCAAGTTCGAATGTTCCGAACAACACAGTTCCACAATCGCAATTGAAGAACCCTGAGTCAACACTTGCTGCAACACACTCAGCTCACGAAGTTCTGCCAACTCAGCTGTCAAACCATCTGGAACCACAATCCCAAGAGCATAACGGTGTTTATAGAAAGCTTTAGCACTCAAGCATTTAGTGAAAAGATCTGCTGGATTTTCAACACCACTCCTGTGTCTCAATTTCAACAAACCCTCTCTCATCTGCTCTCGTAACCAATGCAATCTTATTTCAATGTGTCGTGAACGTCGTGGCACGTCCATGGATCTCACAAGTTGCAATGCGGAGCTTGAATCGCTCTCCAGCCAAATCACAACTTCTTCTGGCTCATCGATCTCATGAAGTGCAAAAAGAAGACGGTGAACCAGTCTTCCAAACGCAACACTTTCTTGACACACTGATTGCAAACCATAGAGCTCTGCCTCACATGAACTCAAGCTCAAAGCTTGTTGTTGTCGGCTCAGAGACCTTACCAAAGACCTCTCAAAGAAAACAGCTCCACCGCTAACACCTTTGCGGTTGTTGAAACGGTACGGCGCATGTGAAGCGTCGCTGAAAGAGTGAAGATGGACTGATTTCAGTTGAGTATCATCAACCTGACTCATGATGGTCTCATCTCTGCTTGGTAGACACAAGCATGCATGCATGTCAACATACAAGAATCTCAAGACTGCTTTCAATGCTTGTTCAGTTCCGTGCATCGGTTTCGCTTGCTGTGTCCCAAGAACAGACATCCATGTCTTCAAGTCATGACGCACCTGTGATAACCAAAGCAATTTTCCCAACGCCTTTCTGAAGCGTGAGTATGCTTCGTCTGACAAAGGTTTCTGAAAGTTGCTATCCGTGAGTGTTTTCTCCAGATGTCCCGAAATGTCAGGAACATTCTCAGACCCACGGGTAACGCCATAATCCAGAAACGTAGAGTCAAGATAATGTGGATCGACACCCAGAGTGATCTCAGAGGAACCTCTCTCCCTTTTGATGACACGACCAATAAAGGTCAGGGATCCTCCCTCTTCTCCGATCTCTCCAGTTGTCTTCACAGGCACTACAGACGACAAAGTTGCAACCACATGTTCTTCAGCTTCCTTAGTGGTCGACAACAACAGAATGTCATCAACATACACTACACACAAACAAAACCCAATCTCATGACCATCTTTCACAATCTGTCCACCATACCCACATGGTTCCAACGAATCAGACCAAAGGCCTACATGTTCAACCGTGAATGTCAAAAGCTGCAACCATGCCAGTGAAGCATCACGTAACCCATTCAATGCCTTTTCAAGCAAATAGTAGGTCGCTTCACCTGATGGAAAACTAATTGACAATGGCATTTTCAAGACAACATGTACACCAGTTCCCAATGGGCTATGCATGAAGGCATGACTCACGTCCAATGCACGCAAAAGCATCTTCCGTGTCGCTGCCATTGCAAGCACCAAATGAACACTTTCAATCGAAGGGGTAGGACTACTAAATCCCAAAGATCTAGCTGAGGAGCCACGATTGAAGTCCTTTGCAACAATCCTGGTTCGAACCCTCTCACTGCTTTTGTAAGCTGCAACCCACCTCGACTGGATCAAACAAAGGTTCGGAACAGCCTTCTTCATGTCGTCCAGTTCTGACTGGGTGATGATGCGGCCAGTCTTGCAGTGTTCCAAGTTCCTAACCTCCTCTTGCATACCTTTGAAACCTTGTTCCAAATCAAGCTCTTGCAAACTCTGGTCATCTATGATACTGTCCGGTTTCCAAACCAAGACATCTTGACCTCCAAGACGCATCTTCACAAAATCATGCTCATTGCCTCGATTGAAACAAACAGAATCAAGAGAACCAGAAAACATTTCTGGAGATGTTGCCGGAGCAAAAGACGCTGGACCTTCAAGTGTACCCAAACTCGCAACCAACACAGGTTCACCACTACCAACCCAAAAATAGTCAAAATCCATGTTTGTTTGAAGCAGTTCCTCAGAATCTTCACGGATTTCTCTTTCCAACTGTTCTCGGTCGGTTTCAGCTTTCCTTTTAAACCTTCTAGTGTACTCAACCTGTGTTTCCGGCTGTCGCCGAGCGGACTCAGGTGTTGATACCATTTCATCATCATCGACCTCTTCTATTGGTACCTGGACCTGAGGTACAACTACAGGGCTCTCCGGAGAGAGTGCAGGTTCAACACGTCTTTCTTTTCTCCGTTGTTCCTCAAACTCAGCAAAACGCTTCCTACATTCCTTGTTGTGCCTAATACCAGGTGCTTCCATGCCACTCTCACATGCTGGACATCGACGAGTCGGTTCAAAACGTGATATATACGTCAGGTGAAATTCTTTCAGAACTCTCAGGACTACCAATGGCTACATCTGCAGTATCTGCTAGTGACGTAGGAGATGGAGTGACAGAAACTCGAGACGGCTCTGCTGGAACTTCTTGTGGAGTCACGGCAACGTTCGATCTTGCCAATGGCACTGCTGGCGCCAAACGCAACTCACCAGATTTCTTCTTCACACTGCTGGACTCTGGCAAGACAAGTTTGGGCTGTGAAGGTGCCGGCAAACTCTGACCTTTCAACCTTCGCAACTCTTCAGGAGGTAGCTGACTCATATCAGCTGGTGCAGTCCCACTGTCATTCACAATTTGGGGTCTACTACCTACAGTCCCAGTGTCAAATTGTGTCAAAACTCCCTGTCCCGAATTCAAATCCCATCTCAAAGGTGAAATAGCCCTGATGTTCCTAGCTACAAAACGCATCAACTCAGCTTTGCCATCCACACGAATGAGACCCTGCACAACTGGACCTCGTTCCAATCCCATGTGAATGAAAGTACACTCAACATTCCTTGTGGAAAGTGGCGAATGCTGCCGAATTGAATCAGGAATCTCTGCCAAAACCTGAGCACCAAACAAAGTCGAAACTGGTTTGGATAACTTCCTTCCTGAAACCATTTCCAATGGACTTCTGTCTGAACCTCTCGATGTTGAAAAATGGTTGTTGCACAAAGCCAAATACGTCAAAACATCAACCAAATTCTCATGTGAAAACGTGACATCCAACCCTTGTGCATTCAGATCAGCCCTTAACACAGAAAAGGATTCCTTTAATTCCCTAACTGCTCGCTCAGCCGACCCAATTGATCGATGTTGTTGTGGCGCGGCTCTCCGAATAGCGAACGTGTATCGGCCAGTGGAGGTTCCAATGACCTCTCCCACGGCCCTTTCGCTATCGGTGTGGACATCAATGGAGACTGCCTTGGAAGTCAACCCAAAATGTTGAAGCCATACAACAATCTGTCTCCTGGCTGCTTCGACATCTTCTCCAACCACCACATAGCCAATGCACCTCGACATCATCTCGGTTAACACAAGGATCTTCACCGAACCTGGGAGTTCGTCTGCGGCGATCTCGCCTGATGTCTTGAGAAATGCAAAATCAGCCTGAAATGAAACCTCTTTCCTGTCACCTTTGTCTCTTCTGTGCTGAAAAACAGAACGACCCTTGGCACACTCCAAGCAATTCGGATTGAATGGAATATGTCCCTGTCTCCGGTGACGTGCTAGTTCACTGTCGTCTCCTCCAGACACAGCTGCGACAGAAAAGTCATGAGTGTTACTCACAGTCAAGTCAGACCTGTATGCACTACTACTACCAACATCTGGATACAAACGAACCCAAGGACAATTGGCAAAATACGCAACATCAAGACAATGCATTCCAAGCTTCTCACTTAGGTTCTGCTTTGAAGTTGCGGAAGTTATAATATACGTTATAATTAGGTTAAAACAAAGTTACGCAAGTTATAAAAAGTAGCTTTTCAAATTTATTTTGAAGTTATTTGTTTGTGTTTTTGAAGGTTTTCTTTTTTACAAGAAAGTGTAACCCAAATGCGGCTTATCCGCTCCAAACAAAACTGAGCGGGCGCGCCGCTTCAAGCAATCAGAGGAGTGGCAGCGGTTGTTCCGCTCCAAGATGTATAGCAGCGGATCATCCGCTTCAATGAAAACTGCGCAGGTTGCAGCATTTTTCATTGGTGGTGTCAGCGAATCAAAGTGATCACGTCCACGTCTTGAGCAAAGGTCACTTTGCAGAAGTCCACGAGACGAGTTTCAGCCAAGGCGGAAACATGGTTCACGTCGTTTGGCCAGGACCACTGAGACCAAACCCATTCGTTTCCATGGCCTTTATGATGTAGCCACAAACCCAACAGGTAAAAAATGTTTTCCTGTTGTTGGCATGCTTGGACGTAGAAACAAGTCGCCTCAGATGGATTCAGCACAAAGTCTCCTTGGCCAATCCAGCCACCCACAGTGCTTTTCATGTATTTGCTGAAGGCAGCGGCAGCATCTCCATACCTGTCGATTTTTCCATACAAAGCCGGGCAATTTTTCAAAGTGGAGGCTGCATCGATTTGGAGCCATCTGGCCAACGCAGTTCTTTCCAAGTCTTCTATCCGGCTGATATTCGGCAGAATACCTCCTTTGAAGGCTTTGTTCTTTCTTTCCATGCAGAAGCAATCGAATTGGTAGCCAACTTCCATGCTTTGGTGTTCGTGGTGGAACTGAAAATGGTGCTTGGGTCTGCAGGCATCTCGTGAATACGCTTTCACGAATTTCCGAAGATGATCAGATTGCAACTGTAAAATACCTTGCATGGATTTGGGGTCGCGCTTTGAATGCATCACCCGCAAGCAAACCAAATGCAAAGCCACAAAGCTTTCAACCTCCTCCTGTATGTCAGGGAAATCCACAAGGACAAAGTGGCAAAAGGCAAACAAAAGCGACATCAAACCGAGGGTTTGCGAGGCTGAGCCGACCCAGTGAATGTCACCTCCATTTTTTCGAAAAAGTTTCTTGTTCAAAAGCTGCGAGGAAATGTTCCCATAAAGTTTTTGACCGCTGCAGGACGAAGCGCAGACCCAAGACATGGACACGAAGTTTCGAACATGTTCCAGGGTGACTTTGAGCTTTTGTTCTGCACGTGTAAGCAGCAAACCACATTCTTGCGAGGCAATGCCAGAGCTAAAGAAATTGTGCATGGCATCATAGAATATCCGGCTTGGTTGCAGGAATTGGGTCAAAGCAGGGTCATTGAGGAAGCATTCCGGCACATAGTGCCATCCAGTCAGCTTCCTGGATGTTTAAGGATAAGAAATATTCCTATACCGCGCGGCACATATAACAGATGTGAGCGGATGGCCCGCTTCAAGATGGAACGTGACACAAATCACCCGCGCAGAAAATATACAGATCGGATAATTGCTGATTCGCAGAGACATAATAAAATATCTATATCTTCCAAGGGTCTCAGCTTCTTCCCGTTTCGCTTTGCTACCTCTGAAATGCTTCAGATAGTCCAGAATCTCTGCCACACCTTTGTCAGTTTGCATGTGGAACTTGTTGAAATCGCCTTCCCAAATTTCGAGCATAACCATCCATGTCTGGCAAGTGGAAGGCGACGACATTGCGACATTTGAAACAGCAGCGCAGCCCGGCTGAACCTTTGCAAGCAATGCTTGCCCGTATTGCTGCTTCATCAGCAATCAGAAACATTTTGGCCGTGGCCACCAAATGAATTTCTTGACCATGTGAAATAGCAAAACCGTCTAACATTGGCAGGAGCTGACGCACCACATGAGCAATAAGGGCTGGTTGTTTCCCTTGCAATCGTTCGATTTCATCATGCCTCAAAACACAGAGCGGTAACCACATTGCTTCATCGCACGCAGCTGCTAAGTGCGTCCAAGTGAAGTATATCCTTAGATTGATGAGCGTCTGCTGTGACTATAAATGCTTGATTCAAATTAAATATACAACCCACACATTTGCACCAGGTTGCAGTAGACACTTTCTGGCGTTGTCAGGTCGAAGGGGGTTGCCAGGCGTAATTTCGTCTGTGTATAGTAACCCTTCGGCACATGGACCGTCATAGTCCTTCAGTGAATCAAAGAATACTTTGTCCTTTGCGCATCTCATTTGGCAAAACTCAGCGATGTCTGTAATCCAAACAGTGACTGCCTCTGTTCCTGTTCCAGTTGGCAAGTTGCTACATTGCATGCAATGCAAAATGTCAGAGTACCGTTGGCAGAACTTGCTCTTGGTGTACAACTTGGCATCGTCTCTGTCGGTGAGCCGCGCAATGACGGTTCTTAGGTGTGCATCAGCCAAACCTTTGATGCCTTGACATTTGGCGAACAGCGACCCATCATTTTTTCTTTTGGGCATATGAAGTATTTGACTGAAAACCAACGGCAAAATCATACCATGCTTGTTTATACCGAAAAGGAGCGGATGACCCGCTACAAGCCGCTATTATACCAGAAAGGAGCGGATGGCCCGCTACATACAAAGTGAAGGAGCGGCTTCTCCGCTACAAAGTCAAGGAGCGGATAGCCCGCTGCAAGCAAAGAGTGCCAAGGAACCGACGTGAAGGAGCGGATGACCCGCTACATGCGAAATCCGCTGCAGATACACAAGCTGCTCACGCATGCACGTTTATACCTCTCTGTTTGAATCTCCTCACTCATCACAAGCCGTTGCCTCAATAGTGGAAGACAAAGTCCGAAGCACCAGGCATTCCTCGCCCAGAAAAAAGCCGATGCGGTCCACGAAGAAAACCACCTCCAAGGCAGCCACTGTCATGAGGTCGTCGTTGGCTGATGCGCGCTCCAAAGCAAACGGCTGACGCCTGGGAGCAACTCGGTGCACCATGTCACAGCAGCCAGATGCTGCAAATCCATCTGGCGTGGACGCCTTTGCTCCATGGTCGCCATCTGGCGTGGACGCCATTATTGTATACACGTTGAGCTTGGAATCGGCTTCGGCTTTTATAAAGACATGCCACTCCAAGCGTGTGTTCCATATAATAATGTAACCATGTATGTGTAAGTAAGCAAAACCGTACATATATATATACTTAGATTAGTAACATATAGAGCGGATGACCCGCTACGAGACATTGCAACAGGAGCGGATGACCCGCTACAAGAAAGGAGCGGATGGCCCGCTACAAGGAAGGAGCGGATGACCCGCTGCAAAACACCATGCAGAAAGGACAAGGGTGACCCGCTTCAAGCTTACAGCGGATCTACCGCTCCAAGTTTTTTTTCAACCCGTTCAGCAACACCTTCTTTTCTTCTATTTCTTCTCAACCGGTTGGATGAGCCCATCCGCCACTGCTTGGTACCAGGACTCATAGTTGTCCGGCTCATAGTACCGCCAAGAAAAATACTCTTTGGCAGTGCCGGCTCTTTTTCGTTTCCAGCCGTTACATTTTGACCATCGCTCTCTCTGTCTTTTGCTGACTCTCTCATTGGCTTCTTCTGCAGCGCTCTTCATTCCAGAGGATGAAGAAGGTTCTTGGCCTTCGGATCAAGAAAACGAAACATCACAAAACAAAAAAACAGCGACTGGCCTGCTACAAGACAGGAATGGAGCGGGTGGCCCGCTTCAAGTCATTGCTAGAAAAAGGAGCAGATGACCCGCTTCAAGACATTGCAGAACAAAAAGAAGCAACCCACCTGGAGGTACAGCAGGAGCTGTAGGTTGCGTTGATTGAACCAACGAAGCTGGAGGTGTAGCCTTTGGTTGTCCAGGTGGAAGGGGCTGAGGTGCAGAAGCCGTAGCCTTATAAGGCTGTTGAGGTCGAAACTGCCCAGGTGAAGAACCCATAGGCTGTCCAGGTGGCTGTTGAGGTCGAAACTGCCCAGGTGCAGAACCCATAGGCAGTCCAGGTCCAAGGTGCCCAGGTGCTTTTGCTTGCACAGGTTGAGCTTGCGGTCTCGCTTTTGCTTGCACAGGTCTCGCTTTTGCTTGCACAGGTTGAGGCCATGGTGCTTGTGCCTTAGGTTCTGCTGAGCTTCTCTTCAAGGCTGCGGAAAACTCTTCCCTGGTTCTTCTCCAAGGTGGCGTTGTATCCATATTATACGGATATACGGTAGCAAGGTGAGCGTCTGGCACCTTTGAGCCATAACGGTTTCGCCGCTCCAAATTTAACGTTTGGGGAGCATGGGGCCATATAGGAACTCAATTCCAGCGGATATACCGCTCCAAGCTGAAACCAATTCCAAACTAAAAAAACCGTTAAAACACTGGTACCATTCTCACCTCCAACAACAACAGGAACAACATTGACAAAAGGAGCGGATGACCCGCTGCAAGACAGGTGACAAAATAAAGCAACTTAGGAATGGAGCGGATGACCCGCTACAAAGTGAATTAAGGAGCGGATGGCCCGCTACGAACAAAACAACCGCAATCTCCAACAACAACAGGTGGCGTGCTAACGGAGCGGATGGCCCGCTACAAAGCAAAAACCCCTCTGAAGAACCTGCTATACATTTTGTTTCTCCTCGCCGCTCTTTTTCCAACATCACGCCTTCTTGGCGGATGGCTTCTTAAGAACCTTCTTAGCTTTCGGCGTCTCCTTCTTCACAGGGTTCTTCTTCTTGGGCATTTCCATTTCCTTCACCAGCCAGCATTCGCGACCTTTGCTCATAAAGAGTGATACCTCTGGCCACTGGTCCATCTTCTTGACATAGGTGAAAGGTTTGAAGGCACCTTGAAACTCCCTTGTGGACTTGAACAGACGAGCCTCGCCTCGGCTCATGCGTTCCTGTTGTGTCGGGGGAAGCGGTTTCCAATCTGAAGTTGAAAGGTTTCCATCTGGTATGTCCTCTGGGCAATCAAAGAAAATGGCACAGAAGACCATTGTGAACACCAACAACGTCTAAGTTTGATCTGCAGCGAAATCCTGCGAAAGATATCGAAATGAAAGCAATGCTTTTCAACTGGTCTGTCCTCAAGTTGGTATACCATTGGTATACGGTTGGTATACGGTCCAACTCCGTTCTGGTATACAGTTGGTATACGGTTGGTATACGGTCCAATTCCTGTTTTGGTATACGGTTGGTATACGGTGATCCTTTTTTGGTATACGCCTTTCACTTCTCTACTTAGACTTGGTATACGGTCCAATTCCTGTTTGGTATACGGCCGGTATACGGTGGTATACGGTCCAATTCCTGTTTTGGTATACGGCCGGTATACGCTGGTATACGGGTAGACCCTTTATAGTGCCATATTTTCATATTAAAAGTGTCTATCTAAAGCGGGTGTACCGCTCCAAGATGTATGTTTTAAGAAAAACTGTCTATACATCAACTCTATATAAAGCGGGTGTACCGCTCCAAGACTCAAAATTGAAACTTCAGCGGTTGAGCCGCTCCAAGACAAAAGCTTCAGTTGGCTGAAGTTCTGAGCGGATGGCCCGCTGCAAAACAATTTTTCTTCACAAACCAATGCAATTCAAGCATTCCAAGGTTTTTCTCGCACATCTTTCTTTTGCAGATCGCGCGGCTAAGTACCACAAAGATCTCGTGCTGGGCAAATTTTTAATTGGCCTCTGCAAACGTAGATTTCAAGAAATTTGGTAAACTGCTTTCACACAGCAGCGCCAAGTGCGCCTCTCATTCGTGCTCACCATCTTCATCTTTGTTATTCTCAGCATCGGTCAAAGCCTCAACAGCATTCTTGGCTAAGTTGGCCAGGCCATCAGTGCCAAGGTCCTTCACCAACTTGCTCAACTGCTCAGCTTCCTCGATGGCTTTTTTCATTTCTTTGGCGCACTTCTTGGCGTCGAACTCCCAAGCGTCACATTTCTTTCCCTTTGCTGAGAGCTTGTCAGCAGCCGCAATGAACTTCTTGGCTTGTTTGAGGCTTTCCTTGCCTGCAGCCACCAAACCTTGCAAAGTCACAGGTGTGTGCTCGAGCTTCAAAACTTTCTTAGCCGCGGGCAGCAATGGCGCCAACAACTTCTCCAAAGCTTTGGCCTTTTTGATCTCGGTCTGGTTCTCTTTTTTGGTCTGCTTCTCTTCCTCGGTGAGCTTGTGAGCCTTAGCTTTGGCTTTCTTGGCCTTTCCGGCTTTGCGTCCCTTATTTCCCTTGGCCTTCTCCTCATCATCCGAGTCGCTGGACTCCAAGCTGGCCATAGAAGCCTCGTCCTCATCGGGCTGCTCATCCGCTTCAGGGGCTGGGCGTTTCTTATTCGCTCCAACCTTTCTGACCGCGGATTGAACTCGCTCTCGCACCACCTCATCAATCTTTGAGTGGTCCACAGAGATGGTCTGAACTCTGTACACCTTTCCAAACCTGAAATTCAGAAGAAGCTTTCCGGAGAAAATGAAGTATCATGGAGCGGATGACCCGCTACAAACAAAAAAACCGTACGTGAAGCGGATGGCCCGCTACAAGGAACAATTCTAAAAAAAAGAAGCCGGTTAGCCCGCTATACATTCACTCAAGCAGCCAGTGGCTGAAGTTTTAAATCTATGACCGCAATTTTTCACAGCAGCCTTATATATCGGACAGGGAGCAGAGCCGACTCCATCCACTCCGCCTTCTCTGCAATGGGCTTCGTGTCGTAGCCTTGCTTTTCGTAGACCGAGAGGGGCATGTAAGCGCCAGAAGCCGAACGCTTGGTCAATGTACGGGTGATGGTAGAGAGAGTCTCAGAGACGCAGGCTTTGATTTTCGTCAGGCAGAACTTGCCTTTCTCATCCTTCACCATATGGGCAGATTGGTAGAACTTCTGGAGGTCTTCAGAACTCAAAGTCTGCCATCCTAACACTGCCATGTCAAAATTCTTGTAGAGCATGCTTGTCACATTGTGACAATCTTTGCAACTCAACTGGGCATGGCCCTTCTTCCTGACGACCTTTTCAACTTTGGCGTCCACCAAACGTTGGCACTGACTGCAATACGCTTTGTTGGGATTGTGCTGCTCCAAGTCACTCCAGGTCATGCCTTCAGCTGGTTTCGGTACAACCTGGTCGGGCACAAGAGCGGATTCCGCTTTGGCTTCTGCAGGCTTTGCCTCTTCAGCCTCAGACTCTTTTGAATCTGACATGGCACGGGCGCCTGGCTTCAGCTCCTCCTGCGACTGCGAGCTGAGGACTGCAGCCGACTTCTTTGGAGCCATGGCCCAAAAGAAAAAGGGTGTGGTCAACGACGTGGCGGGCTCCGCTGTGCCAGGCGCTATATAGCTACTCATGCATGATAAAATCAAAAAGGACATCGTTCGAGCGGATAGCCCGCTCCAACTTGTTGCCTGATAACATTTCTAAAGTTGAAGAGCGGGAGATCCGCTCCAAATTATGCTTTTCATGCTCTGCTTGTGCCTGTCAACAAGAAGTGTGTCAGCGGATAACCCGCTCCAAGTGTATACTTTGCGTTGGATGAGACCTGTGTGGTTGGTTTTTAAACGTCTATGCCGCTCGCATCCTTTTGTAATTTGCAGTCGCGATATTTTCGGCAGGACGCCGACACATGAATTTGGTTCATCTAATTGGTATAGACTGCTTTACGCAGTTTTCAGTCATCGAAATACTGGGCGCCTTGTCGCTTCAGTGCTGACGGCGGAATGTCTTTCCGAACCCTCTCAGACTCCACTAGGTGCTGGTGACCTCGGCGCATTAACTCCTCCATGATTTTCTCAGACAAGTAGTCAGCATGGTCCACACTCAGTGATGTCTGTCGCAGCTCCACAAAGTTCCTAGCCAACTTTTTGCTGGGATATCTTCGGATCAGCGACGCCTGCTGCTTCTCAAGGGTACTCTGCTCCATGTGGCTGTCACACAGAAAGGTAAAAAGAAACCCAAATTGCATATATCGCCAAAAGACACGCAGCGTCAAATTTGATCATCTGACAGTATAAAGTATATCCATGTTGGTATAGATATATAGGTACTAGAAGGAGCGGATGGCCCGCTGCAAACATGATATCTCTGAGTGAAAGCTATTCTTCATATAGCGGATCATCCGCTCCATGCACTGCGCAACCCAAACAGTCCTCACGCAAAAGCACGGCTATCGAATTCAGCGGATGACCCGCTCCAAATACTGCATCTGTGCGTCTTAGACAGCTTTAAATGTTTTGTTCCTCGCGGGTTGCTTTGGATGCATTCCTTTGCTTTTGCAAATCTTGCGGGCATAAGTAGCCCAAAAAGTGGAACACACCACTATAGTAGCAAATTTCCGCTCTTAGCGGTGAATTGCGCTAATTAAATATTTCCTTCATTCAGAGGCTTGAGTTCTGCAAGTCCCATTGCTCGGCAGCTTTCCTGTGAGCAGCGCGGGCAAGCTCCTTTGCCTCATCTGGAGATTGCCCTGCCACGCGAAGTGAAGCGCTTTCGAGTGTCCTCCTTCTTGTTCACATCCTTCTCGGTCTCAGCAGGTGCTTTGGGATGTCGCTTCTTCTCAGGCGCCTTCTTCAAAGACGACTTTCCCTTCTTCTTCTGCCGCTTCTTGCTTTCTTCTTTCTTTTCTGGCAAGTCCTTCTCAGAGGCCTTTCGCTTTCCAACATTGATTTGGTTTTTCAAATCAGCAATCTGAGCAGAGACACTAAGAGCTGCCTCATCTCCAACAGAGGCCTGAGGTAACTTGGCCTTTCCTTTTGCCAACGACTGCACAGCCTTCTGCGCGACTTCTTGCGAGACATCATTGGCAATTGCCTTCTGGCAGTCTCTCTCAGGTGTCTTCTGCTGGCTATCGCTCTCAGATGTGCTCTGCTGGCTTTCTGACAAGCTTCCTTGGGAACCGGACCGAGAGAGGTCTGCCAAGGGAAGGCAAGCATTCTTTTGGGCGGAGGGCTTCAGAAGCTGAAGTTCCAAGCTGCCATGGTTGCTGCAACCCAAGTATTTCAAAATGGCTTCATGCAGACCGATCGTGGATCCTTTGACAGCAGGTGGCCTCGAGGAAGCATTCGTGGACCTCATGGGGATCTGCTCCACCACTCGCTTCAAAATACATGGGTCAAAAGGCGGCTCCACAGGCTTCAACCTGGCTGGATTCCATTGCAGGCGCTTTAACGCACAAAAAAAGAAACCTGCTTTTAAAAACATTTCGGAAAACTTGTGTTGGCCAAAAAAACCAGGTCGCTGGGCAAAGGCGAACTCGTACATCTCTTTTGGCAACAACTCAGGCTTGTTGGGAAGAAACGCCATAAAGGGCAAGCCATCCACCTTGGACTTTTTCAGCTGCCTCTTCACAATGGGTTTCCAAGCGGTGAAGATGTCGAACTTCTCAGTGCTGGAAGGGCCATCCGTGCTCCACTCTGTATGAAACAGTAAAGACACCAACCAAGCAACGGTGGGCTCTGATGGGCATTCCAAAGACAGCCTAGCCATGTGGCTGCACAGCTTCTGGCACAAGATTTCACGCTTGGCAAAAGAATTCTTCTGCAAATGCAAGACTTCTGCCCACAAGCAGTCGTTCATGAAGTAGGCCAAGTTGGTGTAATCTTGCATACACCGGCGTTCCCTTTTTTTCAAAGTATCGAAATCCTCCACTTTCTCGGCCACCTTGGTTTGAAGTGTCGTCACTTGATCTTTTGTCAGGTTCATGGCTGATATAATAGCCATCAGACCTGGCACCATGTCAGTAGACACGCCCTTCAGCTTGTCCACCTTCTCCGCCATGATGCCAAACTGCTTTTGCTGCAAAGATGCGAAATTCGGCAAAGCCTTGCAGCTGTCCAAAAACTTCTGAGCGCCACGAAAGTGCTCTTGCACAGACACTGCCATGACGCAAAAAAACGCCAAAAAGGGGGCAACCTTCTTTCTTAATCCATAGCCATATCAAAATTCAACAGAAACAATCACAAACGTTTCTGGAGGACATGTCAAAGCTCTCGCTTGCATATCTCAGCGCATTATTGGCTCCAATCCTTGCTGTTTAAAGGTTTAGCGGATGACCCGCTCCATGTCCAAAAAAAAAGCGGATGACCCGCTCCAAAAAGCAACGCAAAAGCTGAATCTACTTCAGCGGATCATCCTCTCCAAAATCTTGCAAACAGCTCCACTGTTCTTTGAAAATGATTAGGCATAAAAACAAGCCTAATCGAAGTTACGTTTTCAAGTTTTGAAACGAGTGGTTGAAGTTACCAAAAAAGATATATCTAACTTAGTAACATGAAGTTACTAACTTCATGTTATAACTTCCATAACATAGGTTATAACCTATGTTATAGAGGTTATAACCTATGTTATAACGTATGCTATAACTTCCGCAACTTCAAAGCAGAACCTAAGCATGAAACAAATCAAAACCTTTCGGACCTTGTGTGAATCTCCATCCCGAATCTGCCAATGAAGTGATTGACAAAATGTTGTGCCGGATGGAACCCACCAAAACATTCAAACGTGCTTTCTTCCAACACCAATCATCACCTGATGTGCCTGACATGTGCATCTGTACTCCAATCTCAGCAGTGCCTGACATGTTGACTGAGGATCCATTGGCAGCTTTGTAGCCACCTAATCCCTCACTGTCCTGCAGCACTGACCTGAAGGCTGACAAGTTCGACTCAGCCAAAACACTTGTGGATGCACCAGAGTCAAGAAGCCACCAAGAAGCATCGGTGTTGTCAGCGACCTGTGAAAGCAAAGGTCGTAAAAACTTAAAATAAGGTTCAATCTGCTGTTCAACCGAAACCTCACTGTGGTCGTCAAACCAATCATGTGCACGCACCAAAACGACTTTCATCGGTACAGTGGCACACAAGTCTCGGCTGGGGTCATTAACAAAACATGTTTCTAAGTTGGAACTGTCACCAAGTCCAACTTCATCTCCACACTTCAAACCACAAAACCATGGCTCATGAGTACAGCTGTCGCAACCTCTTGCCAGCACACAACCCATGTCAGCCACTTCACTTTCCAATCCTTCTGACTCACGAGTACAGCTGTCGCAACCTCTTGCCAGCACACAACCCGTGTCAGTCAACTCATCTTTCTTCTGACTCATGAGTACAGCTGTCGCAACTCCTTGCCAGCACACAACCCATGTCAGCCAGTTCATCTTCTTTTGACTCACGAGTACAGCTGTCGCAACTCCTTGCCAGCACACAACCCGTGTCAGCCAACTCACTTTCAAAGTCTTTGCAATCAACCACAAGCCTATTCTCGGTTTCCATGTCAGCAACCTCATGCTCATGCACAAACCTAAGACCTCCAGTGGTTTCACATGTCATGTCAAACAACAAAGGATTTATGATCATGCTGCCGACACTGCCAGTCTTTTGGACATCAGACCTATTGTCGTGACTTGCACTCGGTTCCGCACTTTGGACTGGTCCCTGTTGCCAGGTATACCCATACCCGTCGCAATACCATCCAGAACCATCGTCCCACCATGTCTGCGAAACTCCCCATTGACCATCACAGCTCTCCGGCCATTGGTCATGCCACCAATAGTCATCATCGTCCCAACTCTCTGCAGTCCAGTCGGTCCAATCCTCTGAAACTTCATTCAACTTGCCTTTCTTTCCTTTTCCTTTGCTACCTTTAGAGCCTTTTCCTTTGGAACCTTTCTTGTCCCAAGCGTCAGTCCTCACACTACCCTTACCTTCTTTGCTCTCAGGGCAGTTGAAGCTGATGTGCCCGTTCTTACCGCATCTAAAGCACCGGATCCTGCTCATGTCTGCGGTACAAGCTGCTGCCGTGTGTTTCCGACTTCCACACTTTCCGCATCTGCCTTCCACCGCATCTACAAGTTCGGCATCAAGAGAATGATGTTCTACATTCCCCTCCAGGGAACTCAATCTCTTGCTGTGGCCTGTTGTCTCAAAATCGCTAAACAGGCGCTGTTGTTCTTCCCACCGCATCGCAGCGTTCCTGTAGGACTCGTAATTGTCTGCGCCGCTGTGGTGGAGAACATAGTTCTTCACTGTTTCAGGCAAGCTTTTCAACAGAACAACTAGCATGTCAGAATCTGCCAGCTTCAGTCCTGTGGTGTCCACCTGCA